ATAGCACTACCCCCTATAGGAGCCGCTGAGTTTTGGGTCACCTTAAAGCTCTGCACAGCCAGGCAACACAGATTTTCTTTCACATTTGGCACACTAGAGACAGTAAACAGTCCTTGAGCTTGGTGTTGTGATTTTATAAAGGGGTGTAGAACTTTGATGGGGTTAAGGGGTGTATAGGATGCCCAAGGAAACTGAAACTTGAGGACAAACTCCTTAGCAACTATGTACAGATGTGGACAAAAGTAGTCTCTCCTTTAAGAGCATTCCAGCACTCTGGTGTACCTCCTCAGACCCCAGATGAATCCTCCTCTTCACCCAGCTGCCTGAGGGTATTCCCTGGGCAAGAGGGCCCAGAAACCACCAATTTGGAACAGCAGCCCCGGATGAGAAGCTAGTTTTGTTTTCCACTTGACTGCCCTGTCCCTTTATGCAGCCCAAAGGGTGTTCTAGTACTTACACTGTCCTTCCTGATAGCTTAATGGGTTGGTGGCTGCTTTCAGGCCTTTTGCTGGGCTGGTTCCTTCCCAGCTGCTCAAGATGTTCTCTCTTGGAGACAGTGGCACGATACTTAAGGGTTGCCTTGGTCACTATGCCCAGCCTCCTGCCAGGGGATTGGCCAAGGTCTCTCAAGTATGCAGATCCAAGCTTCCTCCTCTCCTCCATCCCTCCTACAGAAAGCTCTCAGGTTTCTGGACAGGTTGGAGGGCTCCAGAAGCCCTGACTTTCAGAACTTCACTAACCTGTCCTAAGGTAACCTCTCTATCTCACTTACAGGCTGACTCATCTCAGGCTGCTACTCAGCCTCTGCCTAAAAAAAAAAAAAGAACTCTTTACTTTGCATTTTGTTTTATGTTGCATTGTATGCATTTATGGTTTATTACTCAACTGTGGCATGTGCTGAAGAGGAGCCCCTCATATGCAAGTTTTATAATATAATTTGTGTGTCTTGTGACACAGCCAGAACTAGTGGGTTCTCACTTGCAGGCTGTGACACTCAAAGAAAGTCAGGCAGCATTGCTGACAAGTGGTAGCCTTGGATTTGCTCAGCAACTTTAGAAAAACAGTTGATTAATGGGGTATTTGAACGTAAGGCTCTGCCAATCAGTAGCAGGTGGGTTGGTGGTCTTAAAATGGAAAGTCTCTTTATAGCACAGATTTAAAAAAAATTTAACATTTAATTACTACCTTAATATCCTCTGGCACAAATCGAAAGTCCACACTGCTGGCCATCAATCTGTAGATATCTTTCTTGTCTAGATGCTTCATAAGACGCTGACAAAGGAGATCTGAAGCGCTGTTGGAAGGAGCGCATGCCAGTACATGAGAATTAGGAATGTTCTTTATCACCTGTAAAAAAAGATGGATGTGAAGGCTAAAAATTGGATAAATAGAAACTACAACCACAAATTTTAAACTACAATGGGCCACAAATGCGAGCAGCAGACATCACAATTTTTTGGCTGGTACAAAAAAAAAAAAGGTTTCTTATACTGTCATGTTTCACATGACTGTCATATTGACTGTCATATGCCTTTAAGTGTTTTCTACATCTGGTCTCTGCCCCTCCCCCTTTCCCAGGAATGCATTGCCGTTCTAGCCTCATGTCATGGAGCAGAAACATTATGATCTTTTGACCCATCGAATGTTCATTGTTGTAAGATTCTCTCAGTTTATGGAATAAACTTCACAAGATGTCTTATCGATTGAGTCACTGACTGTGGTATCCAGCTGAGGTTGAAGTTATCGCTATCTCATCACAACTGTAAGTTAAAGAGATCACACTATCAATGCTTAGATTGGAGAGACAGAACATATACAGCTGCAAGAAAAAGTATGTGAACCCCTTGAGATTATGTGGAGTTTTGCATGAATTGGGCATAAAATGTGGTCTGAACGTCATCTAAGTCACAACAATAGAAGAACACAGTCTGCTGAACATAATACTACACAAACATTAGATGTTGCCATGGTTTAATTGCACATAACATGTAAACATTCACAGTGCAGGGAGGAAAAAAAGTATGTGAGGCCCTAGCTTAAGGACTTCTCCCAGAGCTAATTGGAGCCAGGAGTGAGCCAACCTTGACTCCAATCAGTGTGATGATATTGGATGTGTTGCTGACAGCTGTCCTGCCCTTAAAAAACACACACTGTTTTGGGTTTACTGGTTTCAAGAAGCACTGTCTGATGTGAACCATGCCTCGCAGAAAAGAGCTCTCAGCAGACCTACGATCAAGAATTGTTGACTTGCATGAAGCTGGAAAGGGTTACAAAAGTATCTCCAAAAGCCATGATGTTCATATGTACACGGTAAGACAGACTGTTTACAAATGGAGAAAGTTTAGCACTGTTGCTACTCTCCCTAGGTGTGGTCGTCCTGTAAAAATGACTGCAAGAGCACAGCGCAGGATGCTGCACGAGGTAAAGAAGAATCCCAGAGTGTCAGCTAAAGACCTACAGAAATCTCTGGTACATGCTAACATTTTTGTTGACACATCTACAATAAGGAAAACATTAAACAAGAATGGAGTACATGGGAGGACACCACGGAGGAAGCCATTGATGTCCAAAAAGAATAGTGCAACACATTTGAAGATTGCAAACGAACACCTGGATGTTTCACAGCACTACTGGCAAAATATACTGTGGACAGATGAAACCAAGATTGAGTTGTTTGGGAAGAATACACAACACTATGGGTGGAGAAAAAAAAGGCACAGCACACCAACATCAAAACCTCATCCCCACTGTAAAACATGGCGGAGGGAGCATCATGGTTTGGCGCTGCTTTGCTGCCTCAGGGCCTGGACGGGTTGTTGTCATTGATGGGAAAATGAATTCCAGAGTTTATCAAGACATTTTGCAGGAAAACGTACGACCATCTGCCTGCCAACTGAAGCTCCGCAGAGGATGGGTGATGCAACAGGACAATGACCCAAAGCATACAAGTAATTCAACAGAACAATGGCTGCAACAGCACAGAATATGCCTTCTGGAGTGGCCCAGTCAGAGTCCTGACCTCAACCCGATTGAAATGCTGTGGCATGACCTTAAGAGAGCGATTCACACCAGACCTCCCAAGAATATTGCTACACTGAAACAGTTTTGTGAAGAGGAGTGGTGTTAGGAATGGACTGGCCAGCAATGGTGGGACTCACCTGCCTTTTGATCTGCAGTACCAGGGCTGGCCAGCGGGTGCTCCCAGCAATCAGAGACTCAACCTTTCAGCCAGCTAACACCTGGAACTGATGATGCTGGGGTATTTAAGGGATGGCCAGACTTGCAGACTCGGCCTTGGTGTTGTGTTTGTCCTGGGCCCTGTATCTGTCCTGCATCCTGTTTCTGTTCCTTTGCTGACTTCTCCTGCTCTGATCCTGGCTTGTGACCCTGACCATTCCTCTGTCTGACCCTCTGTACTACGCTGCTTGCTACCTGTTCCGATCCCTGGCTTGTGACCCGGACCATCCCTCTGTCTGACCCTCTGTACTATGCTGCTTGCTACCTGCTGAACCTGGCCTGTGACCCCGACCATTCTCCGCTTGCTCCCCCTGTACCTACCTGCCCAATTGATATTGACCCGGCCTGCCTGACGACGCTTGCTTGTATATACTGTTATCTGTGGGTGGTTTGGTTTGTTTGCACTGTATTATGTTTTAGTATTGCACTGCGTTTATGTTTGTACTGTTAGTGTTAATAAATTATATTGTTTATAACATATCTGAGGTCTGCGTTTCCCTGCTTCAGTCACACACCTCTGGTCATACCTGGGAGCCCTGACATTACACCAAGGCCAATCCTGACCAGAAGTGAAGTGGGCTGCACAGGGAAGCCATCTTGGCTTGTTGATGGGAAGGATGGATCTTGATGAGGTTGAGTATTTATATCTGCTAGTGTTTGATGACAGGGAGTATGCTTATCAGACTCTGAAGGAGTATACCCGGGATGAACTGCTAGAATGTATACGGCTCGCTCATGTTCTAGTAGATCAGGGCACAGTGTTCTCTGAGGTGCAGCCATTGATTGAGGTTTGTGCAGAGTTGGTTTCATCTGGTTCCCCCGAATGCAGGGATGAATTTTTGCCACCATTTAGTGCAGACCAGGTAGAGTCCCTGGTGTGGTTATTAGAGGATGATGTGGGTTTACTTTCTGGAGCGTTATTCCACATGTTCACCACAGACACTGCAAGATTGTATAAAACGCAGTGCAGTCATTGACCAGACAGACTTTGTGTAAGCTCAGCTTTGTTCAACCCCTACTGCAGACATGGACAGACTTGTTGCACCCAGCCTCAGTCAGCTTACAAAAACCCAGTCCTGTTTCTAACTCTACTCCTGTATTCCCACCAGCTCCTCCAGTTACAGCCCAGTATACTTGGCTATCTACCGCATGTCAGTACCCTATTCCCACTCGCTGCACCTATCCTGCCTTTAACCCTGTAAAAAAGCCCTCTGTAGCAACTGCTCCCTCTCCTGTTCCATCCTCCAGTTTTTCTCTGTCTCCAGCTGCTCCATTCGTTTGCAGACCTGCGTTTACTTGCAGTGCTCCAGTAATTAAAACCAGAAAAAAGCGAAAATTCTTTCCAACCAATACCATCCTGCCAGTATCCAAACCGGTGAACCAGCCTGAAGCCTCTACTCAGCCTGAAGCCTCTACTCAGCCTGAAGCCTCTCTTCAGCCGGATGCCTCTCTTCAGCCGGATGCCTCTCTTCAGCCGGATGCCTCTCTTCAGCCGGATGCCTCTCTTCAGCCGGATGCCTCTCTTCAGCCGGATGCCTCTCTTCAGCCGGATGCCTCTCTTCAGCCGGATGCCTCTCTTCAGCCGGATGCCTCTCTTCAGCCTGATGCCTCTCTTCAGCCTGATGCCTCTCTTCAGCCTGATGCCCCTCTTCAGCCTGATGCCTCTCCTCAGCCTGAAGCCTCTCCTCAGCCTGATGCCTGCATTCAGCCTGATGCCGCTACTCAGCAGGATGAACTGATCCAGCCCGACGATCCTATTAGGCCAGTTGACTCGATGCCCGCTGTTGATCCAGATGATCCGGTACCTGATCCAGTGCCCGCTGTCGTGCCAATTGACTCAGAGCCGCTGTCCAGTCAGACGATCCAATGTCTGACCCAGTGCCCGCGGTCATACCAGTTGACTCGGAGCCCACTGCCTTGCCAGATGACGCGGTGCCCGCTGTCGAGCCAAATGACCTGATGCCTGGTGACCCGATGCCCGCTGTCCAGCCAGACGATCCAATGTCTGACCCAGTGCCAGCGGTCATCCCAGTTGACTCGGAGCCCACTGTTGTGCCTGGTGACTCGGTGCCCGCCGCCCCCGCCTGGGGCCCGAGACCTGTCGTTCCGCCTAAGGGCCCAGACCTGTCGCTCCATCTGGGGGTCCGGCGCCCGCCGCTCCGTCTGAGGGCCCGAGACCTGTCGCTCCACCTGGGGGTCCGGCGCCCGCCGCTCCGCCTGAGGGCCCGAGACCTGTCGCTCCATCTGGGGGTCCCGGCGCCCGCCGCTCCGCCTGAGGGCCCGAGACCTGTCGCTCCTCCTGGGGGTCCGGCGCCTGCCGCTCCGCCTGAGGGCCCGAGACCTGTCGCTCCACCTGGGGGTCCGGCGCCCGCCGCTCCGCCTGAGGGCCCGAGACCTGTCGCTCCAGCTGGGGGTCCGGCGCCCGCCGCTCCGCCTGAGGGCCCGAGACCTATCGCTCCATCTGGAGGTCCGGCGCCCGCCGCTCCGCCTGAGGGCCCGAGACCTGTCGCTCCGCCTGGGGGGTCCGGCGCCCGCCGCTCCGCCTGGGGGTCCGGCGCCCGCCGCTCCGCCTGGGGGCCCGATGCCTGTCGCCCCGCCTGGGGGCCCGATGCCTGTCGCCCCGCCTGGGGGCCCGATGCCTGTCGCCCCGCCTGGGGGCCCGAGGCCTGTCGCCCCGCCTGGGGGCCCGAGGCCTGTCGCCCCGCCTGGGGGCCCGAGGCCTGTCGCCCCGCCTGGGGGCCCGATGCCTGTCGCCCCGCCCGGGGGCCCGGTGCCTGTCGCCCCGCCCGGGGGCCCGGTGCCTGCCGCCCCGCCCGGGGGCCCGGTGCCTGCCGCCCCGCCCGGGGGCCCGGTGCCTGCCGCCCCACCCGGGGGCCCGGTGCCTGCCGCTCCGCCCGGTGGCCCGCTGCCTGCTGCTTCGCCTGGTAATCCGATGTGCCTCTGCCCGGAGTCCTGCCCGATGTGCCTCTGCCCGGAGTCCTGCCCGATGTGCCTCTGCCCGGAGTCCTGCCCGATGTGCCTCTGCCCGGTGTGCCTCTGCTCGATGTGCCTCTGCTCGATGTGCCTCTGCTCGATGTGCCTCTGCCCGGAGTCCAGCCCGGTGTGCCGCTGCCCGGAGAGTCCTGCCCGTGTGCCAGTCTTTGATATCCCGCCAGTTGCCAGACCCGGGCGGTGGAACATTTTGCCCAGCTAGGACTGTTTGGAGCGTCCTGAGGCCGCTCCTTGAGGGGGGGTACTGTTAGGAATGGACTGGCCAGCAATGGTGGGACTCACCTGCCTTTTGATCTGCAGTACCAGGGCTGGCCAGCGGGTGCTCCCAGCAATCAGAGACTCAACCTTTCAGCCAGCTAACACCTGGAACTGATGATGCTGGGGTATTTAAGGGATGGCCAGACTTGCAGACTCGGCCTTGGTGTTGTGTTTGTCCTGGGCCCTGTATCTGTCCTGCATCCTGTTTCTGTTCCTTTGCTGACTTCTCCTGCTCTGATCCTGGCTTGTGACCCTGACCATTCCTCTGTCTGACCCTCTGTACTACGCTGCTTGCTACCTGTTCCGATCCCTGGCTTGTGACCCGGACCATCCCTCTGTCTGACCCTCTGTACTATGCTGCTTGCTACCTGCTGAACCTGGCCTGTGACCCCGACCATTCTCCGCTTGCTCCCCCTGTACCTACCTGCCCAATTGATATTGACCCGGCCTGCCTGACGACGCTTGCTTGTATATACTGTTATCTGTGGGGGTTTTGGTTTGGTTTGTTTGCACTGTATTATGTTTTAGTATTGCACTGCGTTTATGTTTGTACTGTTAGTGTTAATAAATTATATTGTTTATAACATATCTGAGGTCTGCGTTTCCCTGCTTCAGTCACACACCTCTGGTCATACCTGGGAGCCCTGACAAGTGGTCCAAAATTACTCCAGATCGTTGTGCAGGTCTGATCTGCAACTACAGGAAACGTTAGGTTGAGGTTATTGCTGCCAAAAGGAGGGCCAACCAGTTATTAAGTCCAAAGGTTCACATACTTTTTCCTCCCTGCACTGTGAATGTTTACATGTTATGTGCAATTAAACCATGGCAACATCTAATGTTTGTGTAGTATTATGTTCAGCAGACTTTGTTCTTCTATTGTTGTGACTTAGATGACGTTCAGAGCACGTTTTATGCCCAATTCATGCAAAACTCCACGTAATCCCAAGGGGTTCACATACTTTTTCTTGCAACTGTACAATGGTTAAGAAAGAAGAAGTGTTGTGGCAATTGTAACTTGGCCTAGCAAAATTCTCTTTCCTTTCCAGGACTGCACAATTTCATCTTTCTCTGCTGTTGTCATTCTGGGGCCCCCATTAGGTATCCAAAGGCACTAGTTACACTTCTGTCTGTATCAATGATCTTTGATGTGCAAATTATAATTGTCAAATAATTCTAAAAACAACAAAACTACTGCTGTGTTTGAAAGAAAATTTCCAGCATACTGAAAATCTGTAATTAGAGAGGCTGAGGGACGTTTACTGAAATTATCTTTTCCCTCATGCAGACAAGAGCTGACATTTGTCTATCTGGGATAGTATGTGATGCTGGGTAATTGTTTAGAGACAGGCCAGACCATATCAAAAAAAAAATTTTATGTATGCCTAACTAGAATATGTATTTAAGTAAAGCAACCAATAAACAGGTCCTATTGACCAAGGTAAAGTAATTGATTATATTGCTGATTGACATATCTCCCAACTGTCCCTTTTTTGAAGGGACTGGCCCTCGTTTTGGAACCAGGTAGTTCTGTCCCTTTTACGTCAGTTATCCTTTTTGTCTGATGCTCATATTCTTATAAAATGCATCAAAAGTACTTTACTACAATCAACCGTTCAATAAATCTATATTATTACAGTTATTATAATAATATAAAGTAGTAGTGAAAAGGGAGAATTTTTGTGTATTAATTATTTAAGGTCTGTGTACCTGGGGTCATAGCAGGAATGTTTCCATTACCTACATACTTGCGGGAGGGAAGAAATTTTAGAGGTATGGAGAGCTACCAACTCTACAGCACTATGCTCTACAGCATAACTCACTATGCACTGGAACAAGAGTCTCAACACTATAGCCCAAAGGTCACACTGGTCCACTGCAATATTTTATCCAGCCTGCAGCTAGAATCTGTGGCATGTCACAATGTGCACTGATTAAGGACAAAGGCCAACAGAAACTTCCTATGGTCTCCACTGGGGGAACTCTAATGTAAGGGCAGTCTGATGGGGACCCTGATGTAACCCATTCTGATAGAGATTTTCTTTGCTTCAAAAATATTTGTAAAATATACAATGTGGCCTTCATACTGAAACGTTTGGAGACCCCTGCACTAGATGACTGACTAAAGTATAGGAAGCTAACTGCATAATCATCATCATTTTGTACGCATATTGAATACAGTAGGTGATTTTAATATTCCCCACGGTGTAGCTTAAGGAATTTCATTAAGACTGCAGAATACCAAATTACCTTTTAGAGTAAAATAATTCTAAATCAGGCAAAAAAACTGAAATGTGCCTACCTTTGGAAAAAAAAAACAAAAAGAAAAAACAACTTTTCATTAAATTGGTTTGATAGTAAAAATAATACATCTAACTAAATAGATACTATTTCTACATCATCATTTCATTAACAATTAAGAACCCAACCAATTGGTGCCTGCTAAATGTTACTTACTGCCCTCCCTCTTGTATAGATGTTTCCACAACTGTTACAATATACACTGCTCAAAAAAATGAAACATTCAGTAAAAAAAATCAATTTTCATCATAAATTTAGGCCAAAATGTATTCTGATACATGTCTTTGCGAAGATCAGAATACGTGTAAATTAATTGGTTACATACATACATACATACATATACACCACACACATACCACACACACACACAGATACACACTGGAATTTTTTTTTTTATACTAGTAATGGTGGCAATTAGTGATAAAAGCGGGACTGCGGTGGGCATTCGGACACTGGGGGGGGAACTAACTGCCACTGACATCCCCCAGTGACACCAATACAGTGATCAGTGCTAATAGAAAGCACTGACACTGTACTGACACTGGGCAGAAAGGGGGTTAACATCTGGGGCGATCAAAGGGTTAACTGTGCGCTGTGTGTGCTCTTTACATTGTAAGCACACTGCTTTGTAGGGCTCTGCAATGCAAAGCCATACAAAGCAGTGTGCAGGAGCCGACAGGGGAAAGATCTGTATTGTTTACATACAGGTCTCTCACCCCTTCCGTGATACACGGTGATCCAGCCAGTTGCTGGCGGGGAAATCGCGTGGCCGGGACCCGGAGATTGACAGCCGAGACTGCCAATGGGGCCGCCCCAATACTCGTGATTTTGCGCACACCTGCCGCCCTGTAGCAGTATTTCTGCTATAGGGCAGCGGAAAAGCGGTTTTAAAGGAACACTTTCAAAAAAACACATCAGATCTCAATGGGGGAAAAATATAATGTTAGATATCTATACTGATGTGGACTGGGTAATGTGTTAGGAACGTAAGGATGCCCCATCGTTTGATGGAATTGAAAATTATCAACCTACAGAGGACTGAATTCAAAGACACCAAGAAAATCAAGTGAAAAAATGATGCAGCAGGCAAGTCCATTTTTGCTGAAATTTCAATTTTGACAGCAACTCAAAATGGTACTCAATAGTTTGTATGGCCCCCCATGTGCTTGTATGCATGCCTGACAACGTTGGGGCATGCTTCTAATGAGGAAAAGAGATGGTGTCCTGGGTATTTTCCACTCCTGATCTAGACCAAGGGCATCTCTGAGCTCCTTGACAGTCTTCTGAGATGCAACTTGGTGGCGTTGGATGGACTGAAACATGATATCCCAGAGGTGTTCTATTGGATTTAGGTTCAGGCAAGTGTGGGGCCATTCAATGGTATCAATTCCTTCATCCTCCAGGAACTGCCTGCATTACTCTCGCCATATGAGGCCAGGTATTGTTGTGCACCAGGGAGGAACCCAGGACCCCACTGCACCAGCAGAGGGTCTGACAATGGGTCCAAGGATTTCATCCAGATACCTAATGGGCAGTCAGAGTGCCATTGTCTAAACCTTTAGAGGTCTGTGTGTCCCTCCATGGATAGATGCCTCCCCAGACCATCACTGACCACCAAAACGATCATGCTGAACGATGTTACAGGGATTATATAATGTTCTCCGTGGCTTTCTCCAGACCCTTTCACGTCTGTCACATGTGCTCAGGGGGAGCTCTTATCTGTGAAAAGCACAGGGTTTGCCAGTGACGGTACCTGCCAATTTCTGGTGGTTCAATGGCAAATGCCAATCGAGCTC